GGGGGCCCTGGACAGACTCCCGTAAGGCCGGGCGCCAGGCCGGATGGAGGGGTGAGTGCGGGGGCCCTGGACAGACTCCCGTAAGGCCGGGCGCCGGGCCGGATGGAGGGGTGAGTGCGGGGGACCCTGGACAGACTCCTGCAATGCCGGGCGCCGGGCTGGATGGAGAGGTGAGTGCAGGGGCCCTGGACAGACTCCCGCAATGCTGGGCGCCGGGCCGGATGGAGGGGTGAGTGCGGGGGCCCTGGCCCTAAAGGGAGCCGAGTTCTCCAAGAGCACCTCCAAAGGCACACTGCATACCACGCTGCATACGAGTTCCAGGTCCGTATGCAAACAGAACTCCTTCCCAGAATGACTCCTGTTCTGTGTGCTTGTTCCCTCGGAAGCAGAAAAACTCGGTCCAGTAGTAACTTACTAGTTTGTATAAGCAGCAAAACAATCGCGTGCTACTTTCCTGTTCCTTCATTCGCATCTTTCATACAAGCTCGGGCTGGGAGAGAGCCGGGCAGAGCTGCTCTCCGTGGCTCTTGGACTCCCCCATGTAGACTCGACATCTCCGTTAGCAGCAGAGAGCGTGAGTGGCGGAGGGTGAGCACAGGGATAAGGGGAGCATGTGGCTGGAGGGAGAGCAGAGTGGAAGGCAGGGAGAGGAACGCTGGGATGGGTAGACAGTGGCAGGGTGGCTACACAGCCGCAGAGCTCGTGGGCGGCCCCACCTACCTTCAAAGTCCACTCTCCCATCCCCGTTGAGGTCCACGTCTCGGATGATCTCCTCTATGTCTCGGTGTCCCACCTGGTGGCCCAGGAGCTTCCTCATGGCTTCTCGCAACTCGCTGGTGCTTATCTCCCCATCACCATTGGTATCAAACTAGGGAGAGCAGCAAGGAGGGAGAGGCAGCCACCCATGGAGGCTGTCAGGTGTCACCCAGGTTGAGCCCCTTCTCTACAGTCATTGTCCACCCTTCCCTGGAGATGCCCCTTTCTAAGCTCCTTCCTCAGGTCTGAGACCGACCCAGGCCTCAGGTTTCTTTCCAAGTGAGCACCCTGGGTTGGTATTCGTCAGTCCACTGACCCCTGCCTACCCGCCGTCCAGCACTGACCTCTCGGAAGGCATCTCGCAGTTCCTTTACGCCAATCATGTCTGCCGTCTCGGCCAGGAGTTTGGGACCCATTAACTCCACAAAGTCATCGAAATCCACATGGCCACCCACTGCGGACAGAGGAGCAGGCCCAGTCACCCACGTGACCTTTACCCATCTCCAACCAGCAACACAGGGAGCCGCCGGCCCCTCCTTGACCCCCTCAGCGCCAGGTGCAGGATTTAACCAAAGGCTGGACCGTGGGTAGGTGGTTGTCAAAGAACAGCTCAGGCGCACAGCCAGAGTCTAAGGGAGTAAGCCCGGGAAAGGACAGAGGTAGCTATAGATGAAAGAAACATTAGGTGACAGAGACAAGGAGTTTCGGAGACAGCCAGCACATAGGCAGAAGGCCAGAGAGAGCAGAAATTCTGCGTGTTGGCCCACACGCCTCAGCCTTACTCCTGTGCACGGGGAAGCAAATGGTCTCGCGGCAGATGAGCTGGAGAACTGAGCTGCTCACAACAGCTCGAAGCAGTGGTGGCAGTCTGGAGATTAAGCGTGAGCAGCGAGGCGAGGGAAGCAGGATAACTTGGAGGTGGGCACCAAGCAACTCCCGAGCGCCCCGCAGAGTCAGACCCCCGCTACCCACGGTGGATGCTGGCAGGTGAGGACAGCCTTGGTTGGCACCTCTTGCTGTCTCACTTCCTCACCCCTCCGCCCACCGAGTCAATCCCCGGCACTCCAAGCCTCCTCTTGGGCTGGCCAGCCTGAGCCCAAACTAAGTCAGAGAAGACAGCAGTCATAGCTTCCTCTGTCCGGCGCTCACTGAGTGCAGGCACTGGGCTTTTGCAGCGACGCCCCACTTACTTTCTGGGCTTCCCACGATGAGCCCCACTTTACAGGTGAGGGGACAGCGGCAAGTGGGGTGCCGCAGATCGGCAAGTGGGGTGCCGCAGATGGCGGAGCTGGAGTGAGGCGAGAATGCAAGCCTGGACCCGTCTGATGGCAGGTCTCAAGGCCAGGGAGGCGGGAAGGAGGGCGCAGGGGGACTCACGGTTCATGTTGATCTGCTGGGACAGCTCGATGAGCTCCATCTCGGTGGGCATGTAGCCCATGGTGCGCATGCAGTTGCCCAGGTCCCGGCAGTTGATGTAGCCATCCTTGTCCTTGTCAAACTCTCTGAAGGCCTCCCGGAGCTCTGAGGCAGAGAACACAGGTGGGGGGGCACGGGGTGGACCCCAGGCCTCTGCGGCAAGGGCAGCCAGGGGCCAGAGCTGCAGGCAGCACCCCTCTGGCACAGCGCCCTGTGCAGCCCCGCCAGGCTGGGGTAGCACCAACCACACATCAGTGTCCCTTCGGGGACAGCTGAGCAACCCCTTTCCCTTCAGGGGCCAGGTCTTACCTTCGATCTCCTCTGGCCGCAGCGATCTGTCCTAAAACAAGAAAACAAGTCCCATTAGCAGCTGCGAGGGCCTGGGCTCACGGTGTCTCCCCAGTGGCAGCAGGCGCTGGTCAGGAGGGGCGGGGCTGCAGCAGGGCATGCTGGATCATGTCCTCGAGAGAAAAGACGTGGCCTCACTCCTCCCACCGACGTGGGAGATGCCCAGAACCCCAGAGCCCCATCAGGTTGGGCACAGAAACTCTGCACCTCTAACCCCTATTCCAGACCGAAGACTGCCAGCAGGCAGAACTGGTTCAGGGGAAAAACCTGTAAACAAAACAGGGTCCGCAGATCACAAAAGAGGAGTGAGAACCACTCAGTGACACCAGGACAAGAAGGGGCTGGGGGGAAAGGCAGGGGGAGAAGTGCCAGGCCAAGGTAGGCAGCCGAGCAGAGGAAGAGCATGAGTCGCGTGTCCGGGCAGAATCAGGGCTAAGCCTGCCCCGTGGGCGTGCCCACTTCTCCAACTCGGGCCCATCCTATGCCTGGCCCTCCTGTAGGACAAAGTGGGACCCTTGGGGCCACCCATGCCTCTGGTGGCTGCCAGGGTCCAAAGACAAGTCTCCAGCCTCGAGCAGCTCCCAGGTCTCCTTGGAGAGCCGGGGAGCCCTGGGTCTGGGCACGAGAACAGGGGCAGAGGTCTCCAGAGAGCACCGGGCAGACTCCAGGGCTGAGGCGCCCAGCTCCCCAGGCCTGTCGGGACAGACAGGCGTGGGACAGATCTGGGTGCCCAGAGGTTCTGCTTATAGACTCTAAAACGGATCCCTGGGGCTCATATTCTCCCCAGTGTTGCAGCTCTGGGCAGGGAGAACAGAGGTGGGTGCCTAACCTAAGAAAGCACACTCCAGGTGTGGGTGCCACCTCTCACTGATACAGGCTGCGGCAGCGAGCGTGAGCTGCTCACCGGGCGCACAGGCAGCTCTCGCCACAGGCCAGGGTGGGCCCTGCTGCCCATCCACGCTGCCCTGGCCCCAGGGCAGAGGGCACCGGGAAATCTGAGCGTCAGCTAGAAAGGGGGATTATTGAGCAACATCCTGTGGGAAACCAGGCGCACAGGACACCTGGCACTTGGAGGTGGCGACATGTGGCAGGGCAGCACTGAGCATGGTGTGGGCCTGGAGTGGGCAGGTCACCAGCTACCAGGCATGCAGGCAGCATTTTAGCTGGAGGGAGGAGCTGGGGCATGGTAGGGGTCACCAAGGTGGGGATGATGAGATGACGGTACTGACTTCTACTCTAGAAGCCTGTCACGATGCTCAGAGCAAGCACTGTCACACCCGTTCCTAGCCAGACTGGGATCTGGGTGACCAAAAGGGACATTTTTGCAATGGCCAGTATCCCGGTCAGCACAGGAGAGCGAGTGCACCGGAACCCAGCTACGCAGTTCTGGCAGGAATGAGGTGCTCCTGAGCCCCGTTGCAACCCCCTCCCCAGTTCTTGTGTGCCCAGAACCAGGTTGCAGGAAAGCCAGGTCCCGTTCACAGCACGGCCCAGGTCGGTCCAGCTGGGTGCTGGCGGCTTCGAGCAGAGGCGGGACCCCCATCGTATGGCAGCGAGCACCAACTCCGGGTGTCGGCCAGGGATGGAGCACACACACCCTCCTCCCTGATGGGGGTGGGCAGGGAGAAGAGCTTGGCCTTGAGAATCAGCCACTAGAGCACAAAGGCCAGTGCAGCTACTTCCTGGCTCTGGGACTGCCAGTGAGCACTTCAGCTGAGAGCTGCAGGCTCCCGTCTGTAAAGTGGCTTCAAGCAGGCCCCACCTAATAGGCCCGCCAGCAGCCTGTGGGACACATTGTGAATGCTCAGCGCGGCATGGAGGGACGCACGGAGCCCCCTGGCCTCTGCATCTGTGACACTGTCTTATTACCGTCCTTGTGTCTGTTCAGACACCTGTAGTAACTACCCACCACAGTAGCCCTCTGTGGTTCTTAAAAGTCAGGCTAAATAACATTAATAATCTACCTCGTCAGCGACCCTACACACATTTCAAGTCCTCCAGAGCCACACATGGCTAGTGACGCCTGTACTGGCTGGTACAGACACAGAAAGTTTCCCGCGTAGGCGAGAGCTCTACAGTGCAGCGGATTCAGTGCCGGTTAAAACACAGAGTCGCGGCCCTCCCTGGTGGCACAGCGGGTTAAAGCACAGCACTGAGAAGCTAAAGCCACTTCCGCATGAGTTTGATTCCCGCCTCCCGCCTGCCCCGGAGGTGACCACATGGCGCGGCAGACCTCTCCTGACCCGCCCGCTGCTCCCCTAAGCAGTGTACTTCATCAATCTGCCTGTTCTGCTCCCCACTCTGTCTCTGGTGAATCCTCTCACCACCCCTGAGCCTCTGGCCTGTACTCCAGTTCTGTATGTACAAATAAAATAAATCTTAAAAAAAAAAACAAAACCCAGAGCCGCATATGAGGGTTAGACCAAACAAGGAAATTAACTAAGGAGAGCAAAAACTTTCAGACCCAGTTAGCAGTTAACCGAAGGGAAGGGTATACAGAAGTGGATGATTTGGGTAAAAGGGGTCAATTGTATGGTGAGGAAAGAGCTGGACTTTCAGTGGTGAACTTCAAAAAGTTAATGCTGGTTTATAATCATGCACAGCTGAAAGTTGTAGATATTCTAGTACAACATTACATCAATAGAAAATAAAATGGAAAAAAAAAAGAACACAGAGCCCTCGAGTTCCCTGAATTCGAATCCTCTAGCACCCACTAGCTGTCACCTGGAGCATGTTACCTCTCCGACTCAGTTTCCACATGTGTAGAACGGGGACGATAACAGTACCTACCTCTTGGCGTCTCTCTGAGGTTTAAATGAGACGACCCACCAAAGCACTCAGCACAGTGCCTGGCGCAGAGTAAGGACTCAAAGTCTAAAAAGGCAGAATGATGTCATTTGCTATCGTTACTTCTTGCTGATGGACGTAGACTCACCAGTGCTTTCCCCCCAGGAGGGGGAAACTGTGGGGAATGAAATTCACAAGTTGAGGGTTTGGGGTGTATACACAGGGGGTCAGAGCTGCCGTTCAAAGTCCTCTTCTTGCCGGCACTGCCTCATGCCCTGTGAAGCCACAGGGCGACTTACGTACAGGCCACCTGTTCTCGGCGAAGCCCTTGCGCAGGAAGACGCAGGCAGGGCCCAGCAGGCTGTGCACGGCAGCGCAGTTCTGGGCCAGCGTCAGGAGCGGTCCAGGGAGATCTCCGGAGTCCGCCAGCCCCGCCTCGCTCGTCTGCGCCCCTGGGTAGCTGGCCTGCTCCTCCAGGCACATCTTCAGCCAGCACCAGCAAACACAAAAGAGAGGCAGTGCGTCACCTCCCTGTCCAGCTGCACCCTCCTCGTCCCAGCCTGGCTCCTGGTCCCAGCAGGATCTCCCCCGGAGAGAAGATCCTTGAGAGTTAAACAGCAGGGTTCAGACAGCCCTCGGGAGGTACAGGGCCGGCAACAGGTTGGTCCAGCAGATGGGGTCTCCAGTCCTGGACTGAAGGAGATACTCCAGGTGGCGCTGGGGTGATACTCCCTGTGGGGCACAGGCACGTGCGTGCACACACACACACACACACACACCACACATGTGCACAGAGTCCTATCCCTGTGTGTGCATGCAAAAGCTCAGAGAGCAGCAGCAGAAACAGGCGGAGGGAAGCTTCTCTTTGGACAGAGACGAATGGGGACGGCCCTAGGGGTTAAGTCTCAGCACTATCAGTACTACGGCCCGAGTCTGATCCCAGCTGACCCACATGGCACAGCAGACCTCCCCTGTCCTGCCCGCTTCTCTCCTCAGCAGTGTATTTCAGTAGATCTGCCTGTTCGGCTCCCCACTCTGTCCTCTCACCCCTAACCCCTACACCTCTTGCCTATACCCCAGTTGTACACAAAAAACAAACAAAGCACTTAAAGAGAGAGGAATGGAATACATCCTTTCCCAAGATGCTCCCAATGTCTCCGTGCAAGCCCCGGTTTATGCAAGCCCAGCACCCAGCGCAAGCTCCCCACTGACTTCCATCCCTACCTGCTCTGGATCCCCAGAGGGGAGAGTGAGGACGGTAGGGGCCAGCTGCCAGGAGCAGGCTCAGCTAGCCTGCCAGACTGGAGGCTGCGAGCACAAAGACCTTGGCTGACCTAAATGAAGCGGCCAGGTGTAAGAGGTAGATACCAGGGCAAAATGGTATGTCCCTTCTGAAGGGCAGCATCACTGAACTTCAGCCAACATTGCTGGACCTTTGGATTTAAAGGTGGGTGAAACAAAGCACTGCTGGGTCAGAGTCCCTCCAGTCTGCAACTTTAAGACTAGCTGTTCTCTGCTACCAGCCATCCTGCTCCTCCTCCCTCCCGCCTTCTCTGGCTCCCTGCCTAGCCAGCCGGACCTCCAGAGGCTGAGGCCGGGCCTCTCTCTACTTGCCGAATATAGCTGTGCTCCCTGGCCCTGGCCAACCCATCCTCCCCCCTGCCAATTCCCATGCAGCTATAAAAAGTCAGCATGGCCCCGCAGACCGTCCCCTCAGGACAGGAGCGGCATCTAGACACAACATTCTATTCCACCCTAGCCTCCCCAGAGGCCAGGGCCCCCAAGAATCCAGGTCAGAGCACGCTGCCTTCAGCCCTGAGCTGGGAGGCCGGCTCTCACAGTGGGGAGCTCGAGCTGAACCTTCCCAGGGAGACAGAGCAGCTGTCTTCGCCTGTGAACCCCAGAACTGCCTACTCTACCTGCCACCCTACAGCATTCCACTAGCTGCCAGCTTCCTCCAGCTCTAAGAAGGCCTCACCCACCAGAAGACCCAGAGCCCGAGGGGGCCGCCCGTCTTCCCGGGATGAAAGGCAGAACAACGTTCCCTCCTCTCATGCATCTTATCCCCAAAGCCCCACACTGTGGGGTACAGACACAGGTTCCCTGCCAACTCCCTGAGCCTCTTCCAGACCTACAGAGGAGCAGTATTCTGACTCCTCAGAGTAGAAGCATCCACTCAGACCTGAGGTGGTAAAGGGCCTCCGTCCAAAGTCCAAGTTTGGTTAAGTGCAACAGGGTCAGTCTTAGGTCATCTGGGAACTCGAAGGAGGCAGGCGGCCAAGTGCCCATTCTGGTTTGCGGCCCCAAAGAGGTTTAGAGTCACACTCACACTCACACAGGCTTCTGGGAACTGGGTCAGAAAAAGGAGACAGTTCTGACTGGGAGGAGACTCAGAGGGAGCAAGGGGCTAGGGGGTAGCTCGACCTCAGGACATAATGTCAGAAGATGTTTGCTGAGGCACAGCCTTTTCGTGTCTGGCTGACCCTCCCACGCTTGGCCCAGACTGCGCACAGCCCAGGCAGGAAGAGGCAGCAGGCAGCACAGACCTGGGGGGTGGGGGATGGGGGGGTGGGGGAGGTGCCTCAGTATGTCAGCTTTGAACTCAGACAATTTTGCAGACAGATTCTAGCTCTGTCACTTGCTTGCTGTGTGACCTTGGGCAGGTCACTGTAACTCCCTATATGCGCGTTGCCTTCTCTGCCTGGGAATAATCATGGCTACTCGCAAGACTCTAGTGAGAAAGAGATGAGCTATTGCACAGGGGCCTCAACGGTGCAAGAGCCCAATAATGGAGTTGCCATGGCAATGACAATGATGATGACAACCATGATGTCGGTGACGATGATGGTGATGCAGCTTGAAAGATGCCGGGTGCCAGAGGCGTGGACTGCCGGCTCCAGGCTAAGAGGAAGAATATTTGCCAATCAGGAAAGAAGTGAGAAGGATGGAGAAGAGTTTTCTCCCACAAAGAACACACCGGTGTGGTTGGGGAATTTCCACTGCATCTTGATGAAAACGCGTCCTGGCACCACACTGCCCTGGGAGGCGGCTGTTCCCCGGCCTTGATAGCGCCCTCCAGCCTGGCCCAGCCCTGCTCGGAGGCAGGAGCAGGCCACCTCTCAGCACTTCCAGTTCCCTGGCTACCACTCAGAGGCCAAGCGGGCAGCGGCCCACAGGCTGACAATGTCTCCTGGCACCAAGCGACGTCTCCTGAGGGTGGCACAGCAACAGGAGGGGCCAGCATGCCTCGTGACCTAGCAGCTTTCTAGCAACACAAGCTGGCCAAGGGCCCACGAAGGGCAGGGCACCTCCTCACGGGAGGTTTTCAAGGAGAAGCTGGATGCGTGAGCATTGGCAAGGTGGGGACGGCTCACTGCGATGAATGGGGCGTCGGACTCACCGACCGGTGAGGTCAGGTGCAGGCACCTGTGACCAACATTTGCGATGGCAGGAAAATGGGACGCGGCCTATCACAGAGGCAAAAATAAAAATACAAGACCAGCTGTGGATTCACACACATAGGGTTCCTGCTCTAGTTCTGCTTCCAGTTGGCTATGGGACTATAAGAAAATTCTCATCTCGGAGTGCATTCCTTTCTCTAGAAAATAATACAGAGAACTACTTGGTGGAAAAGGGCAAGTGAGATAAGTAGGTATTGGGTATGTTGTAGATTTTCAGGGGAAAAAAACTAGCATTTTTATCATTATGAAAAAATTAGACATTGGGCCTCCCTGGCAGTGCAGGGGTTAAAGTCTCAGTGCTATCAAGATATCTGCAGCCACTGCAGCCTGAGTTCAGTCTCCAGCCACGGAGCTGACCCACACAGCATAGCAGACCTCTCCTGTCTTGCCCGCTGCTCCCCTCAGCAGTGGATTTCAGTAGATCTGCCTGTTCTGCTCCCCACTCTGTCTCTGGTGAATCCTCTCACCACCCGCCACCCTTGTACCTCTGGCCAATATCCCAGCTCTTATATGCATAAGTAAAATAAAAAGTATGACCATTGGATGGAATAAACTTTATGACCTTCTACCTTACACTATAGAACCAAAATCTCTATTTTCCTTTATCCCCCTTCTCAGAAAACCCAGAGTGGAAAAATGATGATCGTGATGACAATAATACCAGCTAACATTTATTGAGTCAAATAGTTCAGGCAAGGTGCATAACACTGTGCCATTCTTGTTTTCCCCTTTGGCTACAAATATCAGTATTCACTTGCTGGATAAGAAAATTGAGGCCCAGGGAGGTCAAGTAACTTGCCCAAGGTCACAAGGGTGGAAAGAGGAGACTCGAGAAGACTGACTCTCAAACACTCAGCTGGGAAAGGAAGATGCACTGGGTGGGACAAAAGGACCATTCTTACTCTTAAATCCCCTCTGAGCTCTGGACAGAACCCAGGAGAGGACTTTTGTCTTCTGGTCCTTTAGATTAACTCAGATCCATTTCTACTCTGCAACAGTGCAGGGCCACCTCTGATACAAAAGACTCCCCTAAGAAGATGACAAGTAATGGTATGGGACACACAGTCTTGGTTCCCCAGAGGAACCAAGTGACAGCGAAGATGAAAAGGAACTTGATGTGAGCCACTTAGATTTGGAAAAGAGACAGCAAACAGAAGAGTCTAACATGTCCTAAACTGGAAAGCTGTGAAACTGGCCGATGATGTAACATGGGGTGGAGCATAGACAGAGATATCATCAGCTAACCCAAGACCTTGGTCACTTCACCTGAGTGGCAGAGAATCAAGTCCCTTGTTTGGAAAGCGAAATATCTAAAAGGAAAATACCTCTGTCACCCTTCCTTCCTTTAACTAACACTTAGGGGGGTTTCTGTGTCGAAACACAGAGGCAGAGCCCATGTGAAGCACAACCCCATAGAGGTGAGTCTAGACTCCAGGAAAGATGCTTTGGAAGTCATTATTTGCTTTCTGAAAGGAATCCTTGCACAAGAATATCCTAAGTTATAAGCAATACACCCACCGAAGAATGTGAATTCCAGACACCTCTGTTCAACATCAGGAAACAACCCTGGCTCGTGAACCAACCTGGTCTTCATTGAGATTCTCTGACCTGATTCAAGAATGATCACAGATATAGAAGCATGTCATCTACTTCAAAACCCACAACTCTGAAGACTTAGCGGCCGGCAGAGAGGGGCAGAGGCCCGTAAAGGAGGTGACTGAGCCCCTACCCCACCTCTGGTCAGAAGCCTGAGCAGCAGCGAGGCCAAAGCCTGGCTCAGTCCTCCTTTGACCCAGCCCCAAGAGATCTGTCCACTTACACACGAAGGGTCTCGCCTTTTTGTGTGATGGCCCAGGAGCGACATGGGTTTACAACTTCTCAAACACAGACACCAATGCCATTCTGAGCCCCAACTTCAGTGCCAAGCCTGAGACAGTAAACTGTGACGGGGGAGTCTGGAGATAAGAGCAGGGAAATGGCTCTGGACAGGACCCATGGGAAGGGTGGCGAGCTCCAGATGCCCAGCCTCCCTGCCCAGCCTCTGGGAAAGCTGGCAGGATGCCCCAATCCCTCACCCAGGTCTCAAGACTCCAGAAACATACCTTCCTTGAGAGATTTCTCAGTGGAGACTTGACACAGTTGCCCATCCTAGGGTGAGGCAGCCCTTCTCGGGGTTTCCAGGTCCATGAAGGAGGTTCCCCAGGGGCTGGGAGGCCTCTGCCGGGGAGACGCCAACCCCGCCTCCCTCCGCCAGCTCCGCTCTTCCTCCAGGACTGATCTGCGTCCTCTCACGCGCCTGTTCTCTTACTGTCTGCCTGATCCTGAATTCTGATTATTATTATTATTTTTTTTTTTTGGTGGATTGTGTGCGTGTGGGTTTAACTTTCTGGACACTTTCCTAAGGAATGAAGGCAGGAGGGAGAGTGCTGGGCACAGCGAAAATCACCCAGGAAGCTGCTGGCAGAAGGCAACAGAGCTGGAGAAGCTGTCTGATCATGGACATCAGATTAGAGCTGAGCCCTCTCTCTCTCCGGTTCATTCCCTTTCCACCAGGCCCCTCCTCCCCTGCTGCCAAATCTGCAGGAGATCGCCTCAGGAGGGGGGCCCAGACTGGCAGCTGCAGCTGGGAATTAGGCCAGCAGGCCCAGAAGGGGAAGCAGGCTAGTTTGGGCGCCCAAAGCAGGGTGCCTTGCACTCCAGGCTTGAGTGCACACGTGTGTGAACACACGCACGCACACACACACGGCACACAGGCACCCAGAGACAGTCATCCTAATTGCCCCTGCCGACTGCAGCTGGATGGACAGCAGCCAGCTCCAGTTGAGGGCCCGGGAGACTTGTGACATCTTCCTCACGCCCCATTTTTCACACTTGCCTCGTCACTGAAATGGGATGGAGGCTCCAGGTGGGAAGCACAGCTGAGCCGGCAGCAGTGAGCGAATCCTGCTCCCTTCACTAAGTGCAGCCTTTGACATCCAAGAGGTGGCCCTAAGGGGGCATGATGGCGGCCGTGCTGGCCCCGAGGGCCTGGGCGAGGGCTGTGAACTGGCTCCTAACATCTCAGGCTGATGCTAAGGGAGAATTTTTCACTGGTTTCCTTGGGGTGCAGCGGTTGACAAAGTAGTCTTCAAGGTCCCACGACTGGAGCTGTTTAGGTGACTCTGGGTTCATCCTTGGTCTCCAGGTTCCAGCTTTGATGCGAGTTCATCTCAAACCTCAGACATCACATTTGAGACCTCCAGTCCGAGCCAGAAGCCCCGAGAGAGAAGGGTCCCTGTTTGCCCGCACCAGCTCTCCCCAGCAGGGGGCACCAGAGAGAGGCCGGGAAGCCGAAGTCCGCTGGTCGCTGAAGCAGCTGTCAGTCCAGACCGGTCCTCTCCCAGGGATTTTTTTTTTTTTGGTCTAGCTCTGGATCAGAGCTGTTAAGAAGATGGCTGGGGACACTGAAGATTCCAGAAGATTTCAGACACTCGCTCCTGTTGAAGGAGGCCCCTCCTGAGCTCTTGATGCTCCTGCTGCCGCCGCCGCCTCTGCTGCTGAGGCTGCTGCCGCCCGGTTAAGCACGAAATGGTTGAACAAACAAGTTACTCAGGCAGTCTGGCTTGGGCCAAACCTCCCAAGGCGGGTATGGAGAAGGAGGGGAACCCCCTGAGGACAGAGGGAGGAGCCTGGGGGCACTGACTCTCAGAGAGCAGGAAATGGGGTGAAGGCTCCTGGGAACCCGAGTGGGAAGAGTGAACAGCCCAGACGCTGACAAAACGCCTCTTCAAGATGTCCCTGGGACACAGCATGAAGAGAGCATCCGAGGGCCGGCTCTGGCCACTTCTGACTTCTCACGTTCCAGAGGTTCAGTTTCCTAGACTGGAAAACAGGACTTCCCCTAGCTGGCTTCTAAAGCATCCCTGGGAAAGTGCCTGGCACATAAAAGACCATTAATAAGTAATTACTAAAACGGAAGCGAGAAGCATCGTTTGTCTGATGTTTATGTGCCAGGCACTGTGTTTGGCCCTGGGAATGTTGGGGGTCAAAGTAAACGCAACCCTTGCTTTCAAGTCTAGCTATGGATACACTTTTTCAATACATTTCAGGTAGACGCTAGGAAAGGGAAGCAGGAAAACTCTGAAGGTGTGAGGTAGAGGAATCTGACAGTCTTGGGAGGGACAGAGGTCAAGAAGGCCAGGAGACAAAATCTGCGACTCCTCACAGAAGAGCTAGAGCTCACCAGGGGGCCGAGAGGGGAGATGGGCTTGGCCATGGGGCCAAACCCGACTTACATTCACTAAATGGTGGGTCCATGGAAGGGCCGTGCGCGTAAAGCAGAGGTTCTCAGAGTGGGCTGCAGGTTAGAGGGCTGGGAGCATTCCTACCGGGAGCTTCTGATTTCTAGGTGTCTGTGAGGTCCAGCATGGGTGCTTAATATACCAGGTAACTGCAGCCAGTGTTGAGAACCACTGGTATAAAGGTTAAGAGCTTGCAGTGCAGTCAGACCAACTTGGGTCTGTGATACCTAACAGCTATGTGAACTTGAAAACATATTCACCTTTCTGAGCCTCGGTTTCCTCCATAGGACTCTTGCGAGGGGTCTGTGAGCTAACACGCACGTGAGTATACACACCTAGAAATGCCCCCTTTCCTGCGTGGCAAAGTCTTACAGGGCTCTGCCGGCCTCTATCCACTCAGCCCATGCTCCATCTAACCTGGTGACTCCTGCCCCCTGCAGGCCAGCCCAAGGCACAGCACCCACTTGTCGACCTTGGGATGGGCTTCTGCCCTTGGAAACAAGGGCCAAGAGACAGCAAAACAGGCTGGGGGAAAAGGCATGCACTTTGAAGAAATCCCATCCTCCTCTAGTGACAGGGTGCTGACACTAGCTAGTGCCTTATGGACAGCAGGGAATTCAGGGATTCCTACTCAGAAGTTGCCTAATCTGCTTGGGCTGGATGGTGAGGGGCAAGGTGAAGATGTCCTGAGTGAAGGGAGGAACTGGTGATCTCGAGAGAGCAGATGGCTTCACCTTCGGCAGAAACTTTTTAAAAGACTCATTGGTGGAGGCTTTGAGGAGCACACGTCACAGCCTACTGCCCCTTCCCTACTCAAGGCTGCTCCCGGGCCTCAGGCCTCGGGAAGTTCCACTTTGAGCTCTGAAATGGAATAATAGGATCAGAGGGATAAGAAGGATAAAACCGTTACTGATTATTCCTGATTAGAAGGGAGGTTGGCCTTCAGCCCTGATCAGTTCTGTCGCCAGTATTTGAACTTGGATGACAGCCCAGTGCTGAGACACTTGGGGAAAGCTGGGTCGTAATATGAGAGGTGCTTTGTAGACGCTTCTGGCAAATAGAAAACACACTCAGAGAATTTCTCAGGCTGGCTGCTTGATGCCCGCAGACCCCAGAAGTCCTGCCCTTTACTCACTGTGTCTCCTGTGGACAAGCCCTTCCCCTCTCTCGAGCCTGGCTCCTCATCTCTACAGTGGGGGATGAGGTCAATGTTCATAGGTAGCTATGAAGATAAGACAGTGAAAAGACACTTCATCAATTGTTCAGAGGGCTCCGAATGTTGCTTCGCCAAAACAGTAGAAGCCAACATGGTATCCTACGAGGATTCTCACAAAACTGACAATTGAAGGTAAATCACTCCTATTCCCTATGACTGACGTGAACCACAAACTGACCTTCTCTTCCCGTCCCTGGCCCCAGAGGAAATGCAGAGGCTGTTCCGTCCTCTCGTCCTCTGTCCTCTCAGAGAGCAGGAGGCAGAGATTTGGCTGGGAGGGAGAGGGTAATATACACAGCCTCATCCTGGGAACACAGGCCTTGACTGTGGTGGGTCTGTTAGCATCCAAACCGCCATGGACTCCCTTCTTCCCTCACCTAAATTATAGGAACTAAAAAGACCTCTTAAGTCCAGGAGCTAGAGATACCATTCATTCACTCACTCGCTAGATCCTTGTGATCCTGCTAAGTGTAAAGCATTTGGGGAAGTGCCTAGCCTACTCAGACCAGGAGATACCTTTCGAGCTAGAAAAGAGGAAAGGTGAAATAGGTTTGTGCATTTTATTCACACTTGCCTCCTCTACAAGGTGTGTTTCTTTCCAAGCTTAGGGTAAGGAGCAGAAAAACTGTTCTTAAAATAGTCCAGGGCCAAGAGTTGGCCAAGTCATGCCTATTCTGACTTAACAGCCGACCTCACTTCTCTCTAGCAGCTGGCTTGTCCTTATCTGGCCTGAAGAGGAGCCAGGAGAAGGTACCTTTAATTGTCTTTCTCACCTGGCTCAGAGGCAGCTTTCATACTCTCATTCAAACAATCACTCTATTGATGATAGTAACAATAATAATAATAATAACACTCATGAAGGCTGCCCCTACCTCGCATCCACTCTGAGCCAGGCTGTTTGACTTCCTTAATCTTGTATAACCTTTGTAATAGCTCAGTGAATAGCTTCTGTCAATTACTTTCTGGATGAAGAGACAGGCCAGAGAGAGATAACTACAGGCCCAAGGTCATGGAAATAGGAATTGACAGACCACTGGTAGGACCCACAGCTCCATCTCCAAGCTGCCATCCCAGGCCTTAGCATCAAAAACCACGTCCTCTCCCTAGAGACAGCAAGGAGACTCCATGAGGTCACTGGGAGAGTTCTAACTCCTTCCCCCACCACGTAGGAGTCTAGCTTGATACCTGCGGCAGCACTTTGAACCCAGGCTCTCCCTGACTCTATGGCAAGCGGAAAGAAGGTCTGACACACCCCATAGTAGTTGACAGACTATAGCAACAATAATAGCAATTAACATTGACAGAGTCTGCACTTGGGGCCACTAGATGGGCTAAGGTCTGCCTATCCCCATATCCTATTTAATCTCCCTATTTTTCAGGTAAAGAAATAGAGGCTTAATGTAGTGAAGCCATTCACTCAAGGTAAATAAATAAAACTGGGACCTGAAAAACATATTTCCTCAGGGCTATAGTTTGCCCTAGGCAGAATCTATCTGAAAGTGTCTGTATCCACAACCTCGTCTCCCTCCTCTGGGTCTCAACCCTCTTTGTAAGAACAGAATTCTCTATTCAAAGAGAGAAAAAGAAAGGCTGAAATCCTCTCTGTCACAGAAAACTGAAGACCTGGACCCAGAAGTCCCAGGCAGGTTGTGCTTGGTGGTAGTGTTTGGGCAGATACATAAGGGTTGTCAGCAGGAAGCCCAAACCCAGTCTGCTCAGCTTGAAAGAAAAAGTCAGCAGCTCCCGAGGAAAGAGCTTCCAGAGGAGGTAGTAAATATTTGATGGGGACCTTCCAGTTCTTTCTGACTCAGGTGACCCTGGTGACATTTCAGAACACTGGGCTGGAGAAGATTCTTCATTTAATGACTGTGAAAGTTGAGAGGAAGAAAAGCAAGTGGCTAAAATGCTCTGAGCTCAGAAAGGGTCCAGGCAAATTGTGCAAGACTGGACAGACAGCTTTCTTCTAGGAGCAAAGTCAGACCGCCAGCACACTAAATAACCAGAAAGTGTGTGATTCCGGGCCCAGGCTCTGCCCTTCCAAACTGCAGATTGTACGATCCCAAACAGCCAGGACCTCTGCTACCTAATGTTCACTGTGGTCTCGCTAGCACCCAGCAAAATAGTTGATAAGTGGAGGAGTAGATGTCACCAATTCAGCAGCATTCCATCTGCAACCCAGACCCAGTCCACGGACCACTCCCGCCCTAACACCCAACACCTCCTCACCAATTCATAAGCCACTGCAGCAGGCGCTCCTTAACATGTCACTGCACCGCCTCTCGCAGCTCTGCATCTAAACCCTCCACTCGGGAGAACTGCTTCCAACTAACTCCACTAACGAGGGCTCCCTGGAGGAACAAAGTCACACACAGTTGCCCTATCACCCCACCACAGCAGCCCAGAGCAACCTGAATTCATGTGCAGTTGCTTCATGTCAGACCTCCACCGGCATCAGCCACTGCAGAGTAGTATTTTGAAAAGAAATGCGCAGATCTGAAGCGAAACACACAGGGCCTCCTTGGAATTTGGATCCAAGGCCAGCCAGGCGCTTGAAACGGCTTCTTTATGCTTCATCCCAGCCCAGAAGCGCTCAGGCCCCCTGCTCCCCGCTACACCCCGCAACAAGCATAGTACACCTCTGCATTGGATCCTCCTTGGCAGCCACAGAACCAGCTCACTGCTGTGCCAATGAGTTGATTCAGTTATGGACCCAGAACCAGAGGAAATACGGACTTTCGTTTTAGAGTTCACAGGTCCCTTTCTGGGGAGCCCTTCTCCCCAGCAGAATGCCCTCAGAGTGTAGATCTGGACATGAGTACCAGGCAATTTTTTTAAGGGTCAGATGCCCAGCATCCGGGGCCCTTGAGAGAAAGGCCTAAAGGAACGCAAGAAGCCCCTTAGTCATCCACTGACCTTCGTATGCACACCCACTCAGGCCGGGGTCTCCGGGTGCTTTGCCAGGCATCTGACACCCCTGGAGTGACACCCTTCTTCAAACATACTAAAGTTCTAGGCTGAGCAGCCATAGCTCTGTACAGCACTCCTTGCCTGTCCCCTGTATGTTTAGCCTCTCCTAACTTTCCCAAGCCTTTGGGGCCGCTGAAGGTCATGGCCCCAAACAAGTCTGTGAACAAGTCTGTGAACTCCGAGGGCCCAATCAACCCCCAGCCTCAACTCCTTTCAGCCCCTTCCCTGGAAGGGCCACCAGCCAGAAGAGCGGGTTTAGCGTCTCCGCTCAGAGCACGCCTCTTGACCCCTGCCGGTCTCCTGCAGTTCGCGGAGCTCGCTCCTTCCGGAACCGGCCCGTTCTGGCCGGTGGAGGGAAACCCGGCAGCGGCGCCTCACCCACAAGGGCCCAGAGCGTGGACAGCGCACAGGGTGCTGAATCAGGCACTGGGGAGGAGGAGCGCGGGCCGGGCTCCCGGCTGCGGGAGGAGAGCGGAGCGTGAGCCGGGGGTCGCGGGCAGTGGGAGGAGGGCTGTGGTCGCGCAGCCGCCGCAGGGTCCCGCGCGCCTTTCCCGGGAGGCGCGGCCCTTACCTGGCCGAAGGCGGAGCTGAGCATGGGGCGCAGCTGGTGGAGGAACGGGTCTGTCTCCGACGCGGCGGCTGGAGAGGAGTCCCCGCGACCCGGGGCTCGCAGCGAGCCCCGGAGCCCGAGCGCCGGGGACAG